GGCAGGCATACTTTTCGGTGAGCACACACTACCGGCAAACGAAGCGCACCTGGGAGTTTCCACCTCATTTGCGTTTAGTCGTATATTCGGCGGAGGTTACCACTCCCGCCGACGGGTAAGGTTAGTGGAGGGATATTCACTCCAACTGCCTTTAAGCGTTCTTGAGAAGAATTCTTAATTAACAATTTAATAATAAAGAGTAAATGGATAGAAATTGAAGACCTATTATTTTGAAGGAGAGAAGTAGGAATTCCAATTTCAGGAACCCTGGACGGACTTAGCCTACCCCGGCACTACAAAAGTTCGTTACACTATTTATATGTAAACCCATTATTACTGCAATTGCCACAAAGTGTGTATTCAGGCAACTACATTTTTGTGGGTTCTGGGAAGGTTTTTGGATCCTATTTAGCAGATAAAATTAAAAAGAATGTAAAATAGTTTAAACGATATTAACATTTTGTTATGTATTTTGCTTTTACAGAATATCGTGAAAATAACAACAAAACAACAATTTTAAATTTCAGTTCTCTTGATGAGCGTGCTTTTGGTGAATCAAAAGTGAACTGATTGCAAAAGTTTTCCTCTAGCAACTGAAGCACCTCTTTTAAAACTACTGACATATCAAACTGCCTAAATTGAAGTGATTGCGTTGGACTTCCTTCTGATCGAAGAGGTGCGCAAGCTTTTAGAAGCGCAGGTATTGAAGTTGAATGAAGTCGTTTCTCTGCACTGAGGGAAAAAATATTAAAATCAAATAGAAACGTAATTGATCTTACTATAAACATCAACGAAAGTACTGTATATTGGTAAATGTTCAATTCAATTACGCGCATATTAAAATGACCGCGTTCATACTGAAAAAGCATCCGTGAAGTGAATAAAAAATTAAAATAAAAATTTAATTTGCATGTTGCCTGCAGTGGAATTCGAACCCGACCATCTCCGGATATCAACAACTTGTGGCAAGCATCTTTGCGCACTCAGCTACACCCAGCTATTTAAATTTGCTTTCAAATGTTGAATAACCATCAACACCACAGCCCGCGATTTGTACGGATAAACATGTATGTACTATGTATGTATGTGTGTGTTGTCACCGCTCTCAGAGCGACGCTCCGCATGCTTGGGGTGCGTATGTACACTTACATACGAACATTTTTAAACGATAATCAAATATAAAGTATTCATTTTTACTATGCATTATTTCCCTCAGTGTGTGTATTAACCAAATATACTTCAGCTTATTTTGAATGTGAACACAAAAATATAAAACAAAAACCAGCATTAATTTTTGCTTACAGTACGGGCGGTAGCTCTTAGAGGGTTGGAATTATCTTTTAAATGTCGCCTGATTGAGGGAGCGTTGGTTAGCTCCAAAATGGCGACTTTTTGAAATCGAACTTTGTTTTTCTTAAATTCGGATAAAATCGAATTTTTCTAGAAAAAATCGAATTTCATATTTATTTCCAAAAAAATCAACTCTTCTCCTTCTTTTTTCTGACTAAATTTGCCATCACTGTGTGTGGCACTCCATTTGTCTTAGGGATGCAAGTAAAAAATACATGTTTTTCGATCTGATGCAAAAAATCTGAGACAAAAAATCTGTGCCAAGAAGAAACTGTTGTTATTAAATTAAAAAAAAAAAAAATGTAAAAAGTACTGTTTTTGTTGATTTTTTATTTTAAATTTGTAGAGGCTTTTACGTTGGTAGCACGAAGCTTTTGCCTGAGAAGATCCGTAGTAAAATTTTCCGGAGAATAATTTTCTAGAGTACACCAGTCCCCTAACGACCTTCCAAATTTGCTTTTTGCGGGATTTATTGAAGTAACTATCAAAATTACCCTTTTAGGCGACAGCTAATAGGTTAAAATGTTCTACGAAAATATTTCCCATGCAATTTTATTATATATGTCTTAACCTTTAATTTCGCTCAGACATATATTTTAACTACTTTTTTGAAAACTACTTAGGCCGAGACATGAAAACTTTAGTAGGCCATGAAATAAAAATACGAGCTAACTTTCGCAAATCCACCGAGTGTTTTACTACTGAACGGGTATACTTTCAGAAAATGTTAACAAAGTCCGGGCCGGTTTGGGGCTGTCCTACAGTGTAATTTGAGTTTAACTTTTTAAACAGGTGAGAGTGGCACCTCAAAAATATTGCAGTTGTTGCATAGTAATTTAAGCACAACACTTCTTTAATTAAAATTCGACGTTTCAAACAGGTGGCACCCCTCTTAAATGTAATTAAAAAATAAAGTTTATTCAAAATCATTTCGATTGATACCCATATTGGGGTAATTTATTTAACTTATTAAATAATTTGATTTTGATTTTCTTACATACATTCATATTTCACAAAGCTAAAACCATATTACACTTCTACAGGGCAAGCCCTTTCATTTGACACCTACCTCCTTTTTGAAAATCGAACGAACGATACAGATTTTATGACATGGTGTTAAATATTTAACGCAAACATCTCCCAACTCTATTAAGAAGTTTCACTTCAAAAAATTTTTGGAAAATTCGAAAAAATTCGAATTAAATCGAATTTGCACCACCAAATTTTGAATCGAATAATGGAATGGTTGGGCAATGTTCGAAATTCGGAAAAAATCGAATTTCAACCCCGCACTACCCATCCCTATTCGGTACAATACGAAAACAAAACGGCTGAGTTCACTTTGCGATAGTACACTACAGTAGTTTAGTAGTTACAGACGAAACAACAAACGAAATGAATCGTGCAGAGAGAAATATATGTATGTATGTGGTACATGTTTTTTAATTGAATTGGATATGAAAATTTACAGACAAAAATATTTTTCACGTAATTGAAACGTTTGGATACACATAAAACGTACTCTATGGTACAATTGTCACAAACGAAAAGCAAACGTTTCTCGTTGGGGAAAATGACAGTGAATCTTACAATTTGTTTCTGACTATGTACAAAACTGTACAAACCCACAAGTGATATGATAATCGATGAGCAAATGGGAATTGTTTTGTACAGTTTATTTTCGTACCCTGTTTCAAAGTGTAATTTAAAATTGTCGTTAACAATTACAAATCCACTTTTATTAACTCATATGTACGGTTGCCAGACGTAGTGATTTTATCAGTACAGTACTGATTTTTCAACTCTTGTACTGATTTTATTAATTTCTCAAATCAGTACAATAATGCCCTGATTTTTCAAAATTTGTACTGATTTGTACTGAATTTTCAATTCAAACAAAATACTTTAAGAGATTCTTAAGGTTTTAACATAACGTTGGAACTTCCTTAAACTGAACTGTAAAATGTAAGAAGAAAATAATTTAATTATAGTTGACAGTTGACATGTTTCAGATAATGTTTGATATGCCCAAGAAATTAATTCAACAAGAAGACCAATTGTTTTATGAACGTATCGCCGAGGCGTTACGTACCAGTATGATGGAGTTTAAATTATTTAAAAAAGGACTGGTGTTTTTTTGTCGAGTGTTGTTAGTTATCTCGAAAATAACTTTCAGTTTGATATCAACAAATTTGAATATTCGAATGGCTTTTGCCTATAACTTACAATTTTTTTTCACAATTTACTGACATTGTAAAAGAGTTTTGCGTAAAAGACATAGAATTCAAAATTTTTGCGTGGTTGAAAAAATTTATTTAAGCTATGGGGAAATATAGATGTAGTCCTTAAATAGTGGTACTTTTCCCCAGTTTGAAAAAATATCCTATATTTTTCAATACCACAATCAAACAAAGAAACTGAGAGGATCTTAAATATGAAGTTGGCTTCCTGGCTTAAAGAGAGAAACCGGCTTCTAATTAAAATTTTTTAAAATGAACTTCAACTTAAAATTAAATGCATAGAATTCTCTGGCTATTTAAACACTGAAGATGGAAATTATCTCATTATTGCTATTCAAAAATATCATAAATATAAAATAATTTATTGGCTTCTATGTACACTCATGTTAAAATGAATAACACTTTTATATTTTATGAACTATTTTGTATCTACCAAAATATTGTTAAAAACAAGTACTCTGGCGTTTTACATAATTTCATAGTTTTCCTTTGAATAAAAATGTACTGGAAAGTACTGATTTTTTTAGCATAAAAGAGTCTAACTTAGCATAAAAAATCTGGCAACCCTACTCATATGTATTGTGGGTTCCCTTTGGTTTTGAAATGTGTGGTAATATTTATTGTGTGTAATTTATGTAATTTTGTTTCTATTTTGTATTTTGTTAAACAAAGATTTGAGGTTTTTTTTTGCCGAAATTACGATTTTTCAAGGCAAAATTTCTTCAGCAAAAGCTTTCAGCAACGCTGCTGATGGGCACCGCCTTGGCCGCGGGCAAAGCGATTTTAAGCTTTTCATACATTTTGTATAGGCGCGTATAGAGCAAAAGCTCTCTTTGCGCATCACTGATATAGGTAAATCCCGTACAGCCGTATGCATGCGCGGAGTTTTTCTGCTGCAAGACACAGAAATTTTCTGCTGAGCGATGCGTTACAGCTTCGGAAATTTCACCCCTACCGAAACCAAAGATGTATACACATCAAAAGTTAATAACAGTAACTCTTGTAAAACTTGGACTTTTGCAAAATTGCTCAAATTATTTTTTGGTTGTGAACCGAATAAAGTGGTTTGTACGAAAAAATCTTGACCGTATAATTTTGGGTGGCCCACTTGAGAGATTTGCCTTCAAAGTAATTGGAAAGCATTAAAAAAATTTATAGTTTAATACCATTCATTTGATTAATCTTTCTATCCCTGTCCAAAAACTTTGCAGAAACTGCTTAGAACTTCTTATTCAAATAAACCATGCTTTTGACTTTCGAGTGTGAGTTTCAAATCTAATAATAATATAAAAATATTTTTTTTCACTTTAGAATAATGATCATTCCTTGTTGACAGGGTTTTGCTTCCACACAGCCTTATCGCTTTCACAACATAAAAATGGCACTTTCAAATATTCCGAAGTCACCTACCTTTCGCATTACGTCTGCTGCTGAGATACCTGGATACGGCGTAGATCCTAACGTAACTATTTCCCACATCAGAATACCAAAGCTCCATATATCTGATTTGATTGAAAAAATGTTGTCATAAAGGGACTCAATCGCCATCCAGCTGTTTAAATAAAAAATATTTGATGATTACTCGTATTTATTTATTTCTATTTTTATGAGTTCTTAAAATATTCTTAATAGTAAAACCTTGTATATTTTCCAAAAATACAAACCAGGTGTGCATATTTTCATTTAAGCTGGACAGAACCGAATAACCATGGAATATTTTTAAAATAGGAAAATTAGTTGACCAACTTCGCTGAACAAAATATATATGTATACTAAGCTTGAAAGAGCTTTTCCGCAGGCAGCGGGTGCCCAACGCCGGTTTAGCGCAAGAAAAGTTTCATCGAACGACTTTTCCTACACTAAGGGACTCCAGTGTAGGACCCCCCAAAATTTTAAGATAATGAATCCCAAACTACTTAAAAAATTTTCATTTTATGGAAACCCACATCAAATTTCTGAAAATCAAGGGCACTGCAATTTTAATAAGAATAAAATATTTTACTAGAAATAGTATTCATACTTAAACTTTTAATGTGATGATAGAAATAGTTTCACCTAGGGGATTCCCTTAAACTCGTAAAGTCTTAAACCGTGTAAAACTCGTAAGTTTACGAGGCTTTTATGGGAACGCCCCCTTTGTGAAAAGGTGTAATTAGGTGCGTAAAACGACTGTTTGACAGATCACCCAGGATTTTGGGAAGCAATTTTTGTTTATTTGCTAAAATACAGTTAAAAATGCCAAAATGAGCAGAAAACCTAAGTCAATACAGTTAGCGAATGAAATTCATTCATTTTATTCGCGTATTATTATTTTCATTTATTATAATTACTTCATCATACATTTTAGTAAAAAGATTTCGGCCCCTCGGCAACACTGAAGTTTACGAGGTCATTTGCGCATCAAATTTGCCTCGTAAATTTGCGAAGGGCTCGTAAATAGAGCTCCATAAAAATTATGACAGTTCTTTTACGAGGCCCGTAAATTTACGAGCTTTACGAGGTTTACGAGTTTAAGGGAAGACCCCTACTGTTTTACTAGTTATTGTTTTATAGTTCGGTATTATGTCTGACAGCTGTATGCGCATTGCTAGCATCCAATTTCGACCTGAAATTGTTGTATAAGTGTAAGCTGAAAAGCCTGTCCCACAACGATACGCTATGATAGAAAGAAGCAAGGTTAACATAGCCTTTTTAGCAACTTCAAGGTATTAACTCCTAACAGTGTTAGGCCAACATAAACCCAAAACTCTTTAAGAGACACGGAATCAAATGTGGGTTTCAATGTCAAAAAACTCTGAAGATCTATAAATGCTTCGTAAACGGATTTTATATCCAATCGATATCATTAATACCGGGGCGAACGCCGCACAGTGTTTCGACTATATGGAGGCAGGTGGAAATAATAGTACACCTGCACCAATTTCACTGAAACATGAAATGTGCTCTAGTTTTACTTAGAAATAGCGATTTATGAAATTTTGTAAAGCTGGAAGCTCTACTCATGTGGGCGGAAACATTAAATCTCATCCGATTTCGATCAAATTTAGTTTGTAGTCTTTATTTTATTAGAAAAACCTAAATATAACATATGGGGAAGATTGAATCAGTATAACGTCCAAAACTCACAAAAAATGTGGGCTCAGTCATTAAATGTGATGGAATTTTGGGTAATTTTTGTTTCCTGCTTTCCACTCTCAGAAANGCGAAGGGCTCGTAAATAGAGCTCCATAAAAATTATGACAGTTCTTTTACGAGGCCCGTAAATTTACGAGCTTTACGAGGTTTACGAGTTTAAGGGAAGACCCCTACTGTTTTACTAGTTATTGTTTTATAGTTCGGTATTATGTCTGACAGCTGTATGCGCATTGCTAGCATCCAATTTCGACCTGAAATTGTTGTATAAGTGTAAGCTGAAAAGCCTGTCCCACAACGATACGCTATGATAGAAAGAAGCAAGGTTAACATAGCCTTTTTAGCAACTTCAAGGTATTAACTCCTAACAGTGTTAGGCCAACATAAACCCAAAACTCTTTAAGAGACACGGAATCAAATGTGGGTTTCAATGTCAAAAAACTCTGAAGATCTATAAATGCTTCGTAAACGGATTTTATATCCAATCGATATCATTAATACCGGGGCGAACGCCGCACAGTGTTTCGACTATATGGAGGCAGGTGGAAATAATAGTACACCTGCACCAATTTCACTGAAACATGAAATGTGCTCTAGTTTTACTTAGAAATAGCGATTTATGAAATTTTGTAAAGCTGGAAGCTCTACTCATGTGGGCGGAAACATTAAATCTCATCCGATTTCGATCAAATTTAGTTTGTAGTCTTTATTTTATTAGAAAAACCTAAATATAACATATGGGGAAGATTGAATCAGTATAACGTCCAAAACTCACAAAAAATGTGGGCTCAGTCATTAAATGTGATGGAATTTTGGGTAATTTTTGTTTCCTGCTTTCCACTCTCAGAAAACATACTATAAAAAGACTTAGGTGTAAATACTCGTTTTTTCTCAATATCTGGTGAGATTTGTTCATTGTTCGAAAAATTCTTTTCGCGAAATCATGCAAAAAGAAGCTGAAAATCAAAAATTAAGAAAATCCAAAATTACATATATTTGCAAAGTCGCCCGCAAAGATCAAATTATATATTCGAAGCTACATAAAATTCTCTAAAACATTCGTCTAATTTCAAGACCTGACGGACCGGTACTCACACTTTTTTTACTAATAATCTTTAGCATCTACATTTCAAAGTAAATTTTTGGGTAAGAAAATGGGAAAATACCAAAAAAAAACATAAATACCTTAATATTCCACGACATTTAAATACTTGATTACAGTTTAAAAAGAAACCATTTATTTAGTGGGTTAATCGCCAAAGGCAACTAAACTGATTAGTCGGTATCGCGCCCATTCCCGTATTTTTTTTTTTTTTAATGTATCGTTCGTGAAAAAGGGGGGTGAGTAAATAATGTAAAATTTGGTACTTATGACTTTTACTTTTCCCTCTCTAATTCCAACCGGTTTTTTCTCAATTGTCACCATGACTTTTTCCTAGCTGCCTCCATATAATCGAAACACTGTGCGTTGGTAAGGGTTTTGGGGTTCAAATTCACTGAGATTTACCTAAGGGACTTATTTTTATTTGTTGCTTGTTTGTAGTTATTAAGTGAGAGAACCAGTTACTATTTAAAAATACGTTTAATTTTTTTATTGAAGAATAAAAGTAAAACTAATACATTATATCTCGATAAAAGATTCATTTATTTGTATTTTTTTAATTTCGTTGTAAATGGCGACAAGACGGTCAGTTATTCTGTCTGTTTCATTATGTAATTTTGGACATACTTCATATGCTAGAGGTAATGAATAACCCCGGTAAAGAATAATATATAATATCTACGGGTACCCGGGTTTAGGGGTTTTCTTTATCAGAATACCCGAGTAGTCGGTTTCTTCATCCAGGTACTTCTATAACGGGTTATATTTGTCCGGATGCCTAGGNAGAAGGTTATCGTTATCTGGGTACCCAGATATAGGGTTTTCTTTATCAGAATACCCGAGTAGTCGGTTATCTTCATCCAGGTACTTCTATAACGGGTTATATTTGTCCGGATGCCTAGGTAGTAGGTTATCTTTTTCTGATCACCCGGATGAAGGTTTATTAAAAAATTAATGCAAAAAAATTAATATAAAAATCTTTATGAATATTGTAAAAAAACGGCGTGAGTACTAGTTACTCATGAAATTTGATGTGTAAACATATGCGTACGGCAAAGCATAAAAGTACGTTTACATATAAATATAATCTTCTTCTCTGAGCCACCGTGGTCACATTTTCTGCTACACATATACACATATATTTTAACTTAATATTTTATTAAAAATACCCTTAGAAACCTCTTTTCCTTGCTAGCGTCACTTTTTGTTTACTTTTACATTTGACACTCCTAATCTTCTTCGCAAGTTTAATCGATAAAACTAGGTTGGACACCAAAAAGTTATCGGTTTAATCTGAGATTATTTTATAATTATAATTTTGTATGACTAATCTCATTCTATTATTACATCTTAGGGAGCTAAGCTTCGTCCGACAATTGTATTGTGATACATATTTAAATTATCTGATCCCCTTAATTCAATTTGAATTCAATTATAAAATCAGGTGGCAACACTCTTACTTGCAGTTTGGAAATAAAGTTTCTTCAAAGCACTTTTGGTTCACATATATTTATATTAAAGTAATTTTTTAACCTATGGCTTATATTGAATATAACTTTGTAACAAGGTGGCAACCCTCTGCAAAATATTTTCAAACCACAACCTCTTTCGTCTGACATCCATATCAGCATTTAAGCCGAGCTTGCTTTTTGAAACAGGTGGCAACCCCCCTACACAAAATTAAGAAATAAAGCCTTTTCAAACCCATTTCGATTGATACTCATAGTGTTATAATTGATTTAACTTAAAAATAAATTTGAATTTCATTTTTGTATCTATTTGAAAAAAATAAGAAGTTATTGCACATCCACAGGCCAACCCCTTTAATTTGATACCTCATTTTGTAAAATCGAATGAATGGTACAGATCTGATGTGAACAAAAAGTTTTCGCGTACTATGCATGCATATGCACATATGTATGGGCGTAGCCAGGTAGGGGCAGGGGGTGCTCGAGCCCGCCCCCCTAACATTCAAATTTTCCATATATATATATATATATAAAATAGTATCCTGAAATGCGAGCTTAATAGGGTCGAGCCCCCTCTAAATTTCATTCTGGCTACGCCGATGCACATATGTACATACATACATAGATTACTAAAAGAAAAACAGATCCACATTAACTGCAATCAACATATGTACATATGTACTATTGTTGCAAACATTTTGTAATTTATTTATAGTACTTTAAAAAAAAACTGAAAAAATATAGTACACTTCAAATATATATAGTATTTTATTTAAAAGAACAAGTAAAAGCACTTTTTAAGTAAAAATCTTTTTTATATTTCTTTGCACTTTTGGCAGTTTTTCCCAA